CACCGATGTCTTCCTTCAGGTGAGCCTCCACATATGATTATGCAAATTCGCTACACTCCAAAACCAGTGTCGGTGCTTTATATTCAGATAGGACCAGTAAAATAGGGTTTTCTTCGAGAAAACTTTTCCGGTGATACCAATCAAAGGCGAAGTTTTGAGTTTTATTCCCGCCATAACTCAATACAGCCGAGGTATAACATTTAAATGTCTGAATATGAATCTATCTACCGAAAATTTCCAGCTATAAAAGAATGTCACTTATAGACCAGGATTATCTCAAACTATCGATTTCTTCGCCCTAAAACAAAAACATTCTGTTGGTATTTCGTATTAGAAAAAAAAAAAAGCAAGTGAAAGGTAGATAAGTTAGACAATAAATTAAAATAGTATTTACCAAGAGGACTACAAATCATAAAAAATATTATGTAATCCAAAATAAAACAGCACGAAATTTACTTAGCAGATAATAGGAGGGACTCGGTTAGGAGAGGTTTTTTTTCCAATTTGACAATAACTTCACAACAAAAACTTTTAATGATTTTCTGAGATTATATTCATATTCAAACGTATTAAGGACGAAAATTTCTAACCAAAAATTTGTCCTTCGGAATAGATTGAACTGGTCTATTGTAAATGACGTGAAATGATCGAAATAAGAATCGCTCAAGCAGTTATTTGGAAAGTTTTATAAGGCACTCTGGGGTAATGTTCCCAGTTGTATAATTTTATGTCGAATTAAAAATTTTCGTGGACCATTAGGGTTGCGGATATTGGCGCAGGAGATAAGAGTAGTTACTTTTTAACTATCCCCTTTTGTTGTGGACAATTTTATTTCATGGCTTAATTGCGATTAGATATAGTTTGTAGAAAGATAATGGAGTTGTGGTTCTACTAGAAATACAGATCAGTTTGCCGAGTTTTTTGTTTTTTGTGTAAAACTAAATAATTTTCCGAGGTAAAAATCTTTTGAACTGTTATGTACGTATTTGCATATTAAAAAAACTTACATTAGTTTGAAATTTCAGATGCAAAATATCTTTTTTCGATCTCCAAGTATTGGTGGCTGTTTTAAATGGAAATTACTAGTTGCAGTATATAAACGAAAACAAAATTTTAAAAACACTTGTGACCCAGCTATCTTATTATATAGGGTGTCCCAAAATTCACGCAAGATTTAGATTTGTCGCCATTTGTACACTAAAGTGTTGGTAACAAAAAAGAAAACAGTTTATCAGCTGTCGATTTAAGTTGAGTAAAAATGAAGCGTTAAATAACATCGCGTTTTTATTGTTGAAAAATATTTTAAAAATAATGAAAATTTGGCAGCCGGGATTCAAAAATTTCGTATAAAATATGGTTGGAATATTCGTATAGCTTCGTCGAATTTTTATTTTTGAAGCATTGCGTGAGAGTAATCGTGAAACCAGGAATATCAATTCTGTTTCGTAGACAAGAATTTTAAAGTACAAGAAGCTCTTTACAGGGTATACTTACTGAAAATCTGCATCTCCATTTTTACAAAGTTCAATTGACACAATAACTCAAGCCTAATAATCATGCACAGCAAAGAGACTTCGTTCAATGGATATATTAAAAAGTGTTTGCTGATTTTTCGAACAAAATCATGTTAAGCGATGAAGCACACTTTCACCTTAATCGTTTTGTTAATTGTCAAATTTGCGGCATTTGGAGTTCTGAGAACCCACATGTGACTGTAGAAAAAAAACTCAGTCACAACATGTCAGTATTTGGTGAGAATTTCGAGCTCGTGGCATCATTGGACCATACTTTTTGAAAATAAGGCTTTCTACCTAAATTGGATCATATGAATATGGATGACATGTGGTGTGAACAAGACGGTACTATATGTCATTCATCTTGTGAAACAAATCAATTATTGCGTGAGACATTTCCTGGTCATGTACCCTCTCGTTTCGATGATCAGAACATGTGATTTAACACCATTGGATTTATTTTTCGAGTTGGAAAACATTGGAGTAGAACGAATACATTAGTAGAATGGCAGAGGATAGGATAGTACGAATAACACGAGATAGGTCACCAAATAGACGAAGAAGTATTGGCAGATCAAGAAAAAGAAGAAGAAGGATTTATTTTTAGGAGGTTACTAGAAAAAATTGAGAAAAAATATAATTTTTTTAACATTCATAAAAGAATTAGAGAATTAACAGGAGACTGAGAAAAACACCTCAAACTAGGCAACTAAGAGATGAAAGTGGTGCATTTATAACAGATATAAACCAAAAAATGCAGAGATGAACACAATATATATCACAACTTTTTGAAGACAAAGAGAGAACAGAAGCACCAAAAGAATTTAAGGATAATACTGGGCCTGACATTATACGAGAGGAAATTGAATATGCATTAAAACAAGCTAAAGGTGGTAAATCTCCCGGGCCTGACGAAGTTCCTATCACATTACTCAAAATTGTAAATACTGAATCTGTTGATCTTCTTTTGGATCTATTTAATACCATATATAGAACAGGTATAATACCTAAAGAATGGCTTCAATCAACATTCATACTGCTTCCCAAAAACGCCAATGCAAAGGAGTGCAATGAACATCGCACCATAGCCTTAATGAGTCATGTCTTGAAATTGTTTTTAAAAGAAATTCACAATAGAATACACAAGAAATTAGATAAAGGCATAAGTAATACACAAATTTCGAGATGCACTGTTTGCAGTAAGTGTTCTTTCGCCGAGATGCTTAGATATTAATCAGAAAGTATATGCCTGTTTAATTGATTTTGAAAAGGCATTTGACAGAGTACAGCATAATCGGCAACAAATTTGCAAACAGCAAAAGTGAAAGTTGAAAATGAACTGACGGAGGATCTCCAGATTCGCCGTGGAGTCCGTCAAGGGTGTATTTTATCACCCTTGTTATTCAATCTATACAGTGAAGCCATCTCAGAATTAGCACTTGACGAGATCAGTGAGGGCCTTATAATAAATGGTGAGTCACTTAATAACATCAGATATGCTGACTACACCGTCCTTCTGGCAGGAACACTAGAAGAACTGCAACACCTTGCTGAACAACCAAATATATATTGCAACGATTATGGACTAAAAATAAATTTGAAGAAAACCAAGTTCATGGTATTTACAAAAGCACAAAACATCAAAGTTAAGCTAGTACAAGATAATACAGAAATTGAACAAATATCTTGGAGTGTGGATCACAGAAGATACTGATCAGACAAAAGATACAAGATGCCGCATTGAAATTGCACGGTCTTTTTTTTTGTAATGAGAAAACTTTTTTGTAATCGCGATATCAATATATCGCTCCGGATAAGAATGCTTCAATGTTATATTTTATCTACCCTTTCGTATGGGGTTGAAGCTTGGGCACTTAAAAAATCCAATATTAAAAACCTAGAAGCATTCAAAATGTATACCGACGTATTTTGAAAATATCATGGATGGATCGCAAAACAAACGAACAAGTTCTCGAACAACTACAACAACGAAAACACTGCGAAGTTTTAAATTCCATAAAAATCAGGAAATTTGAATACTTAGGGCACATCATGAGAGGTGAAAGACTACTAAGGAATATAATGCAGGGTAAGATCAAAGGCAGAAGAAGCGTAGGAAGATGTAAAATCTCGTGGCTACGCAATCTCCGTGAATGGTTTGGATGCAGTTCAATTGAACTATTCAGGCGCGTAACCAACAAAATTATAATTGCCAGAATGATTTCCAATCTCCGATAGGAGTGGAACTTGAAGAAGAGGAACTTGAAGTCAAACATCTACGCCAACAAGCTACAACAACCCGTGCATCCACATTTATGCCAAATGGTCATTGCTCTCAGCAACGTAATTTCTGCCACTAATGTAATTAGACTGCGCAAACATTTTAGATAATATCATATAAAAACATAGGTATATTAACGTTAAACATTCGGAAAATCTGAACTTTATTATTATATTACGAAGATATAATTATTTGACATGAGAACAATTTTTTCTTACTGTACAAGTTAAATACCAATGATGATAATAGGCAAATAACTGTAAGTATATCTTAAATATGAAAATTTATAGGTTTTCTATAAAATAAAATAAAATAAAATATATTTCTTAAAGACTAGACTTGCTTTTTGTTTTAAATCAGGTTTTAACTGATTTATGTCTAACCGATACAAGTTTAAATTAAATTGAAATATTACAGAGAGAGGTCAAGTTTAACTTTAGTTTTATATTTCTCTCAGTATACTAGTAAATTGCTTTTTTAATTAATTTGAATGATTTTATTAACTGATGATGGTTAGGAAACGTCCCTTTCCCATCATATATTATTTACGAAGTCGCCAGCTAAAAAGTGTCACATAACTCTTCTCTTCTACACATCAAGTGATCGAATCGGTTCATTACTAAACATCGAGTCCCATTTTCTCGTCTAAGGATATAATGTTTGAATTATGAATATAAAAAGAGCGTTTATGGCCCACCTGCGGCCTTTCAGACCACACTTTTATCCACCATTGTGATTTATGTGGCCCGACTGTTGCTAACGAGGCAGTTCACCTAACCTATAACTGTAGAAGGTAAAATACTGGAAGCTAGGGAGTGGAAATGTCAGAGATTTCTGTCGAAATTATCGGAGAGAGATTCAAATCTGCAGCCGTAAAAATACGAGAGTTGTATTGCACCCTATAAAAGAAATTATTTTGAATTATTAGGGAAGGGAGAATGGATTATGAATTTTTATGGGTTGTAATAAGTTTTGTGGTAGTAATATTAAATTAATTATTTAATTTGGTGAGAACTATTACTACTATCTAAGAAAATACTAAAAAGAAAACTACAACTTAAAAGCGATACAACAGACAAAAATAAAAACAGTTAAATTTATATGTATAGTTTCACAGTTTCTTTTCCCGTATCTTATTTTGAGAAATCTGTTTAGAATAGTCTTAATGAATCCCTTCTTTATATTAATAATATTATTTGTTTCAGAACTCAATCAGGCACAACTTATCGCTTCACAACAGATTCATGCGGGTTCAAAATGAAGGCACGGGAAAATCCTCTTGGTGGATGATTAACCCTGACGCAAAACCCGGAAAATCTGTAAGACGAAGAGCAGCATCTATGGAAACTAGTAAATTTGAGAAAAAACGGGGTAGAGCAAAGAAAAAAGTCGAAATGATAAAAAACGGCTACCTGCCCGACACAACACCTAGTCCTAGTTCATCTGTATCTGAGAGTTTAGACTTGTTTCCAGATTCGCCGATTCACAGGTAACGCTTAGTTTTTTCCCTTTTAGCCTATATCGTTAATGCAAAGACAATTGACCGATAAATCATTTTCAAATAAAACAATATTAGTCAGATAACTACTTACCAGTAGTATCTACATAGATATGTAGAAATTTACAAAAGTGATAATGGGAAGAAAGTAAACAAAGCTTAAACTCATTCAATTGTGGAGAAATATTGGTAAATATATTGTCACGTTATTGTATCTCTGTATATGGTGTAGTCTTTTGCTATTAGATATATTTTTTAATAATTTTGTGTTTAGACATATGTCCATAAACATCATCATTATCATTGGCGTAACAGTCCAGATCGGGTCTTGACCTGTTCAGGTCAATCCTCACCATTCATTCCTACTTCTAGCTTTCATTCTCCAGTTCCTAGTTTCGAGTTCTCTCAACTCCTTCTGTACTTGGTGCATATATCGTATTTTTGGCCACCCCCTAAGTCGCTTTTCCAATATTTGTTATTGATTTATGATTCTGGCCGGTTCAGATAGTTCTATGCGCTCCACCTGACCTATCCATCTCAGTATACCGAGCTTTATAATCTTTACCACATTAGGGTCTTCTTAGGTTTGATACAATTCGAAATTGTATCATCTCGTCCATGCGATTTTTGGATACACCGCTATATATGTGTCCAGGACTTTTGTTTCAAATATTGCCAGTTGCAATTTGTTCAATTTTGTCAGTACCCAGGTTTTTGATCCGTAGATGAGCACTGGTGTGATCAGAGTTTTATAGATCCAACATTTGAATTCCTTTGCAAATATATCTGATTTCAAAAGTCCATTGTAATCTTGATTTGTTAGATAACTTCTGCGCTGACTTTCTGTCTTTGTGTTTTTGTCAGGTAAGTAAACTGTGAGAAGCTGTATATATTTTTCTCCCCCATTGTCTGTTCATAAACAGGAAAGTCTAAGGTCTTGAATTGTTGTTGCATCCCAATTTTCGTTTTAGTGAGCTTATTTTTCTACAGTTCAATCATCTACTATCTCACTTTCTTCTTGTGTTCTGATCGATTATCGTGCGTTGGCTATCAAGTTGGATATATTAATTTTGTTGACGGCAGTTCGGGAAAGGAATGCAAAGTATCTGTTAAAACCATTCCCTCTGGTTTCTAAGCCATGGCATTTTTCTTCGAACTGATTCTCTTCTTTCGTCGATTTTGCTTTGTATTATTAAATGGAGTATATTAGATCTGTCTGTGTGATGCATGTCATGGAAAAAAATTCCAATTCTGCAAAACAACCTCTTTACGAACTCTATCTACCCAACTGTCTATCCTCTATTTATTCGTAGAATTCTCCGATATACTCATATGTCAAAGGCTTCAAGATTGGTAAGAGGTGTATCCGTTAACGTTCAACCTTGGACATTATATAAAGGAATAAAGAACACATAATATCTTACTAGTCTAATTTTCAGTCTCAATGTCATATTGTTTTCACATAAGATTTTTTTGTTTTAAAAAATACAGTTCTGGCCTTCTTTATCCGTATTCTAATTTCTTTGCTCTTTATACGTATTCTAATTTCTTGGCTCATGTTCCAGTTCTTATTTAGGTAACAACCAAAATAAGTGATACTGTTGGTTTTCTCGAGTTGTTGTGTTATTTACCTTCAATTCATCACGGAAAATACCTTTAATTCTCATTTTATTCTTCTTCATATTCCTATTGGGTTTCTTTTTTAATCTTTAACTTAAAAAAACTTAAACTCCTATATTCATATTTAGAATTAAGTCGTCTAGTTTATAGGTTAGATTAGGTTAGGTTATAGGTTGTCGTCTGGAATTCTTTCTTCCTAACGTTGTTTATTGAACCGTGGGAGAGCTTATCAAAGGCGATGCGGCAACTTCTTCCACTTGCTGCTGTTGTTCCTTCAATACCTGCGCTATTGATAGCGCTTTCTTGTGTACATTGATCTTTATCGATTGGTTCGAATGGGTATTGAAATTGAAGGTTTTGTATTTTCTAGAGCTGACATCTATATCCTGGTTAGGTTAAGACCTTTTTTAATATGAATTGCGTTAGTCTATGGAATTATAACTTTAGCACCTGTGTTTCCTCCAATGAAATTTCGTGGTTATCTTGTGTGATGGTGCATTCTGTATAAAGTTGGTGTATATACACTGTTTATTTGTTCTGGCTCAAGGATTTGCAAATGGAGGATTGTTAGATCGATTTTTTTCAAAAATGCTTCGCAATAACTGGGCTCAGTGACTTCAGAGTAAATAAATTTTTTATAAAATCTGCCGTTTCACAGGTTGTAGTGAGACAGTAACAATAAATGTTTATGCTGTCTTGTATAGACTACTGACTAATATAGTCTAATGACTTACCAACTGGCTTCATTGGGAACAACGACACTACGACGATGCTCACCAGTAGTGAGTTTAGTATATCGGCTATTTTATTAAAAGTGGTTCGACCCCTTGACGGAAGTTTCAAACTACCACTGAACGGTGTTAGTAATGCCGACATATATATAGGAGGAGGGAATGTTCAATATGGTTTATTCATCCAAGACGGAAATATTTGGATACTACTTACATGACAGATCATACTTCTTTTACTTCAAGTAAATTACTTAATTGTTTCAATTCTTAAGTGCAGCTGGATTTATAGATATTATATAGATTGTAGGACTTATTTTCTTGTTACTGTAACTTTGTACTTTGAACAAGATTGGAACTAATATGGCTCCGATTTAAGCATAAGCTATTTTGTAGTTATGTGTACATATTTATATTCATAAAAGTTCCTTTACACTTTACTTTTCTAAAACTGTAAATTATATATTTAGACATATTAATATGCTTTGTTAAAGTTCAAGCATAGTTAATTATCAATTTTCTTTGCATTTCTTGTAAAATATTTCCAATGCATTATCAGTTTTAGCTTTTTCATAAAAAATATATATTTTATGTATGTAAATATCGATTTAAAAAGATCTAAAGGTTTTTAGTGCCCTCTTCTTGTACTGAATCTTGTGTCAAAATCACTGGAGAACAGAAAATTAATATATTTAAATTATTTTTGTCATGTGTATTAACTATTTAACTTGTTTGACATGCTATATCGGTAAAATAAAACAAAACAACACCAACCAATAACAGTATAACTTGGAATAAACAAGAAGCGATTGTGCTAATGTCCTTAATAAAGGCTTTTGGCACAACTGTAATGACTGGTTGCAAAGGTTTAAGAAGAACAATTAATGGATTTTTTGGCATTTGCCAATGTTAGTACTGGAGAGGGTTGGTAAAGAAATAGAACTAATCATCACTATACAAACCAGAAAACTGGAATACCTAGGCCACGTGACGAGAGGACCAAAATATGAAATTTTGAGACTCATAATACAGGGAAAGATTCAAGGAAGAAGATCTGTTGGCCGAAGGCAGAACTCATGTTTGAAGAATCTACGTGATTGGTATCAATAGAGATCGATTGATTTGTTTAAAGCAGTAAGTTCAAAAATAAAAATAGCCATTATATGATAGCCAACCTCCGTAGGAAGACGGCACTCTAAGAAGAAGAAATGTTAGTCCAACGAATTTTAATGCTTATAAAGGTCTATATTAGTTGGCTTGTGGTTACTCAGGACCTCAGGTTAAATAAGGAGTTTCACAAACCATTGTGAAAAGAAAAAATATACTTATTTTTATGATGTGAATGCTTCGTTTCTAAATAAAAGTAAATCTTAGTTTAGTCACCAGGTCACCTTTTCTCACAACTTTTGGGTTTTTTTTATACGAGCTGATTAAGTGAGCTAGAAATTTAAACTCCTTTCAACTTTCAATTTTCATGACTGTGTAAATATTTACGCTAACTGTTTTAACCAATTTTTCATTATTTATGCTAAATGATTAATAATTTGTTTTAGAAATAGCATAAACCACAATACTTTACGACTTATTAAGAATTTTTATAGCACACACCTCGTAACATAACAGGTTCTGATTATTGTTTGTTATCGATTTGAAAATGTTTGCTTTGGGGACTTTTTAGATGTTGAATATGTACCACATGCGAACACCATCGATAATCATAACAAAACAATGTGAATCATGTATATAGTTAATCAAAAATATTGCTCGCAATTTCCATATTTTTATGAATGTTATTTGTTCACATGTTGATGATATATCTAAAGTATGATGACGTTTGTTGTTTACAAAAAAATAAAGAATAATTTATTTAAAGATATATCTGAACTGCTATATTATTACAGTTTATATATATATATATATATATATATATATATATATATATATAAGATATATCAGTTATAAAATTAATAAAACCGAGAGCTGGTAGTAAAAGAAATTAGTAATGTGATAAAATAGAATTCAAAATCAGTTTCTGAATATACAATAACACCAAAACATCTTCTGCAGAAAATCAACGAAGAAAAATTTAATGTATAATCACTGTGGAACGACTCTACAAGAGAAATGTACCAAAGGAGGTTAGCACATAAGATACAGCTAAAACAAATATTATGACATCGAAGATATAATCGCGAGCTGAACAACATTGAAGAAGCAGCAACAAAAGCTGGAAAACGCAAACTCAAACTGAACAACAACAATACACCATGGTTCAAAAAATAAATAAACGAGAAATATAAAGAGAAGCGAGAGAAATACACGAAGTACAAAACATCAAATACTCCAGAATCTCGAGACACGTATAGAAGAATACGAAATGAAGCAAAGCAGTTGGTAAGAACAAAAAATGAACACTGGCAATGGTTCACAAAAAGGATGGAAAGAGACTTCTACGGTACACAAAAACAAATATAGAGATTCATAAGAAATCAACGGAAAGAAACGGCAGAATTGAAGGAATAGAATAACACAGCAGTAAACGAATTGGAAATATACCTAACGGAACTGTTTAAAGGAAAGAAAAATAATCAACACAATAACGTATCTGAATTGAGACACGAAATAGAAATCAGTTTTCAGGAA